CTCTCTCTCTCTCTCTTTTTTTAACATTTTCAAGAATTTATTAAAAAGAAGATCCTAAATTAAGACAGCAACCAGACAAAATCATAGCAGCAGCCGTTTTTACCTCACAGTATAAACGTAAAAACGTTAATAAAGTAACAACAAATATATATATTAAATCTATAAAGCAATAAATACATATTAATTATTACTCAAATTATTATTTCAGTCGTTCTTAATGTACCAAGCGTCTATATGCAAAGAAAAGCCAAAAACTGTGGGTTTTATCATTAAATGAAGATATAGCCTAAATACGCTTTGCGGGCTTTACAGCATAACCAGGTTTCATTCGCACGGGCCCCTGGGCAGTTGCCCCCCCCCTTCCGTCGGCGGGCCTAGTCGAGAGGCTAGCCATTAACTGCTCTACTAGGGGTGATTTCTCCAGTTAAGTTGATGTCTATTCACAATGGTTTTTTCCATCATGAAGCAGAGAAAATATGCAGCAATGAGGAATGAAAACATACCGGCTAACTAAGAACAATATAGCCAGAAGCATCGATAATTTGATCTTTCACAGCAAAAGTCCAGATTGAAAATGTAAAGCTGAGAGAATTCCAATCGGTCAAAAGTTCAACTAGACATTTAGGTTTAAAAGAGTTTAACTACTCTGTTACAACCATGGTCTGCTCTAAGCTCTTTTAAAGAATGGGTCATAATATAGATTGGGCAAACGAAATTTCTGTGGGCTTTGCATTTACAAATGTCCTATACTGCCTGTGGAAGATGTATCTCAAGTTTCTGAAACTTACAGATCCTCAGGCTTCACTGGACTTCCAGTTGATCAATACTTTTAACCATGGCTTACTCTGTAATCCAGCCTCATTCCTCTCCCTACCATTTAGTTATCTCATTGATAGAGCCCGGTTTCAGCAGGAAGGAATGGGTTGAGACTGCTAACTGGTAATTATCAATTTCTACTTATACTACCTGGGAGGCTGACGTCGCTGGTTCGGCTGATTGTCAGAGCTGTTTTTTTTTTTGTTTTGCCTCTAACTGCAGTGTTTGCTCACATATTTTGCTCATCAGGTGAGTCTTTATGACTTGAGAAAGCTTCATCACCCTTCTCTGATTTGTTTGTTTCAATTTGAAACTTCTGATCAACCCAGTGCACTGAAGCTTCATCTATGGCATACATACATACACGTGCTTCTGTGTAACTGGTATCTACTGTAACTCACACATCAATGGACCAATCTGCCAGAGTATGATGTATATGGATCAGTCCAGTCTTCACACTGTTATATCCATTCTTTTACCGTCCTGTCAAAACACTTCTTCTGTCATCAAAAAGCCTTTAGAAATCATTGACAGGAAAATTCGTGATCATCGACTAATGCAAACCTTAACCTTAGAATATGACAAAATTTCTCATTCTACATATATTTTACATTACGTTTTACTCATAACGCTTAAAAATGTGATTTACAACAAGGAAAATCAAGATACTTTTCTCTGTATGTTCATGCATCGTTAAAAGAGCAAGGCAGAGGATGTGACGTAATGTAATTATATTACAATTATAACTTATACATAAGGAATAATAACTTTCATTGTAAGTTAACATGCACTTGATATTTTAAATTTTAGGATAAAATTCTACATATGGTAACGGATCAATATACACTGTCCTACCAAAAGTCATGGGATACAGGTAGTTATGAATAAAACATGTCTTTATTCCAAGAAATTAATAGCGTGTTGGCCCGCCTTTAGCCTTAACGGCTGCTTCAATGCGTCGTGGAAGACTGTCTATTAATTTCTGGTAGAAAACTGGTAGTGTTATGCTCCACTCCTCCTTTAAAGCATTAGTAAGCTCCATTACTAAAGAGGGCCGTCTTGCCCTTGCCCTAATTCTGCGTTCCAGTTCATCCGAAAGATGTTATATCGGGTTGAGGTCGGGGCTCTTTGCTGGCCACTGCAATGTTCCGATGTTATTCTCTTCAAACCACGCGTTCACAATATTTGCTTTGTGACATGGAGCGTTATCATGTGGGAAGGTGTAAGGCCCCGTAACATAAAATTTCCACAATGTAGGACACATAGAATTGTTCAGAACATCGACGTGGGACTCAACATTCATGGATCCATGCACTGCGACCAGTGGACCTGGTCCATACCACGAGAAGCACCCCCAGACCATGATACCGCCACCTCCAAACTTCACTGTTAGGACAACCCACTCAGGTAATAAACGTTCTCCAGGCATCCTCCATACTCAAACATGTCCATCAGACTGGTAGAACGTCCAGTGTGAGTCGTTGCTCCACAGGACCGATATGCATTGATCCACGGTCCAGGTTTTGTGTGCCTTGCCCCATGCCAATCGACGGTGTGCATTTGTTTTTGTAAACATCGGCTTGTGGGCTGCAGCTTTTCCGTGAAAATTTATGGCATGTAGCTCTCGACGTGTCGTGGAAACACTTATAGGATTGCCTTTGGTTGCTCGCATCTCCAAACACATATTGTCTATGGTCTGAAAGCGAGATGAGGTAACCAGCCTTCTCAAGGCGAGTCGGCTCCTGTCAGTCAGTATTTTACGCCTACCTGGTCGTTTCTTGGGCTCATTGTCACCTGTGGACATCCATTTATTCAGCACGTTGCCAACTCTCTACCTGGGAATGTTTAATTGTTGCTCAATAGCACGTACAGACATTTAACCCAAATAAAATCCAACTGTCCTTCCCCTCTGAAACTCTGTTAGCTCTTTCCGTGTACTCATCGTTTGGCG